CCCAGCCTGCACAGGTGCCCGGGACCCCGGGAGTGCCCCCCTCTCCCCAGCCTGCACAGGTGCCCGGGACCCCGGGAGTTCCCCCCTCTGCCCAGTGGTACTATCCACCCGCCCTCACTTCCCATGCCCTCCATGCAGGCAAACCCAGCCTGAGACCCCCTACTCCTGCACCTTCCCCAGGCTCCGGGCAAAAGAGAACTGTGTGGGGCTGTGGGGCTGGTCAGGCGTTATTCTGGATCTCAAGGTGGCCACAGCAGAGGGCACTGAGCCCCAGCCCTCCTAAGTGTGGTCTGCCACAGCAGAGGGCACTGAGCCCCAGCCCTCCTGAGTGTGGTCTGCCTGTCAGTAGCCGGCCCAAGGGAGAAGCATTCTCTGAGGAGCAGCCATGAGCACTCACCGGCTCTCCACTTGGCCCGGCCACTCCGGGGGTTCCCTTGGGACCAGGTCTGCCCTAGAGGACACACAAGTGACAGAAGCAGTGGCGGTCTCTTCCCAGACGGCCTCACGCACTCCCCAGCCAGCAGCCTAGGGACACCAAGGAGCTGTGCTCCGGGCGGGACAGCAGCAGGGGCCACCCCTCGCCACCACCCTGGGCCTGTGGGTGCGTGGAGAAGGCTGTATTTGGAGGCCAGAAATGCTAGGGCGTGGCATGGGGGCTCCCTGCTGCTCTGGCTGTGAGGGCTCAGTCGAGGGAGGGGACAGTCACTTCAGTTCCTCTCTTGCGATGCTCGACTGTCTCTGGAGGTTATGTTCACTTGCTCCACCCGAGAGCCTTTCTCTGGGGCAGGATCCAAACCCTGGAGCCTGGTCCCTCCACCCGACTTGTTGGCCACTCTGCAGGGAGCCACAGAGCTCCCATGTGGGCTCTGGGAGAATGGCTGGGGCCAGGGAGGGAGTTGGGGCCCTCCAGGGCCAGGCTGACCCCCACATACCCCCAGGCCCACCCAGGGCAGGGCAGCCCCTCCAAGTCTCCCCAACAGGTAGCACCCCCAGGTGTGTCCCCCTCCCCAGTACAAGTCAGGAAGGACCCAGGGAGCCAAGTCCCCTCTCACTTACGAGGTCACCCTTGGGGCCACGGAACCCTTCTGGGCCCCTCTCGCCTCGGTCACCCTGGAAATGATGGGGGCAGGGCAGGGACAGAGTTAACACCACGGAGATGGTCAGAGGGTGGGGCTGGGGCCCTCCAGGAGATGGTCAGATGGTAGGGTGGGGACAGCTCTCCAGGAGTGGTCAGAGATGGCCAGAGGGACGATGGTGACCCCTCATTCCACGTCCAGAACCGGAAAGGAGGCGAATGTCCCACAAAGAATGGCTTTCATTGGTAAGCCGCCCCTACCCATGCCACAAGCCCTCCCAGGGTGTCCAGGGGACAGCTCAGCCACAGAAGGGGGGCCCCAGGGGGATGGGGGGGTCTGAGAGGAGCCGAGGGAAGGAGAGAGAGGCCACGACGCATGGCACCCACATCCACCAACACACGTACCGCCTTCCCGGGTGCTCCTGGGATCCCAGGCGGCCCTCGGAACCCGACGGGACCCTACAGAGGAGAGGCAGATCTAGGGTCCTCTAGTCTGAGGCCTGGCCGGCATCCCCCCAACCACCCAGCTCCCTCAGGGTGGCCCAGACACGAGCAGCTCTTCCTCGAGGGCTCCTCAGCAAATTACCCCAAGACGCCCCCCAGCAGTCCCCAAATCCCTCCTGCCCCTCTGCTCTGGCCTAAGCCCTCACGGCAGCCTGGCACCGCGTGTGGGGGTGTCAGCGTGCAGAGTTCATTAGCCCTCTCCTGGTACATGCGTGAGCAGCCCTCACAGCAGCTTGGGACCACGTGCGGGGGTCGGTGAGCACTGACCATCAGCCCTCGCCCAGGCATACGCGGGAACAGGGGCTCAAAGCAAGGCGTGTGCCATGGCAGTGCTGGCCAGAGCCAGGGTGCCGGCTGCTTCCGAGCCTCACTCATCTTAAGTCTGGAGGTGCAGACGACCAGGCCCCCAGCCACCTAGGGGCTGCAGGACTTACCCGGTCCCCAGGGGGCCCGAGCGGCCCTGGCAGTCCTCGTAATCCCCGGGGGCCCTGCAGGAGAGAGGCACAGATGCAGAGGCTGGCGCTGCACCCCCACCCCGGGGAGCCCAAGGGCCTCAGCTCTCGGGATACGGTGGAAGCCCTGGTGTCTTCCATGAGCCCTCAGCCTCAGCTCAGGTCCCCCAGAGGGAGGGGGCACCAGCCTTGAGATCAGCAGCTTTGGCAGAGGTGGGACCCCCACCAGCCCGTGCTCCTGTACTTGGGTACTAGCTGACCGTCCCCCAGCCTGAGCTGGCTCCCTTGGAAGCAGAAATGTGCAGGGCTCGGTCATTCAGTGGGCCGAGTTCCCATCCCACCATCCTGCCCTTTCCAGACTCACCTGCAGCCCCACGCTGCCCGGGAGGCCGGCAGGCCCAGGGGGACCAGGGTCACCCTGAAGCAGAGGAATAAGTGGTCAGTGGTCCATTCTGGCTCTCCTAGTACCTTCTGGGGCCTCCAGTCACCCCACTCGAGCCCCAGCATCTGGGGGTGTTGGCCCCTTCACAGCTGGGCCTTGGAGGCTCTGTGAAGGGGTCACCTGCCCACAGCTCCAGAGAGGTTCCAAGTCGTGGTGGCCTCGCCCTGTCAGGGCTGGGTCCGTGGTCACTGTTCCCGTAAGTCCCCTCGGCCCCATCCAGGCCCCTCCTCAGGGCCAAACGGGACCCCTCTGATGTGCATATGGGGTTCCCTCCTTTGGTCAATCCAGCCATGCCAAAGGGCATCCCAGACCCGGTCCCCCTGCCTGCAGGTGACGACGGACAGACACCCTCCATGGACAGTGGCTACAGGCGAGAGGCTTCAGGCTAAGGCCGGCCATCCTCACAGACGCCCCTCGCCCTGGTCACAGACACAAACCAGGGAGCTTCCACAGAGGGGCCAGTCAGGAGGGGTCTGTCCAGGGACCCTGCCCAAATCCCTGCTCTGACCAGCCAGGCCTTCTGGAAGACAGGCACATAGGCGCCCAGCCCAGGTGCACCCATTAAACAGCCCCTCCCCGGCCCCTCCCAGCCGCTGTGGGGCAGCTTTACCTTCTCTCCATCCTTGCCTACTTCCCCCTGTTCGCCTTTGTAGCCAGTGGGTCCCTGAAAGCAAACTCAGGGTCACTGCCCCACACAGACCCCCAAGCACCCTCCCGGGCAGCACTGAAGTGAGGCCAGCAGGGCCAGGCAGCCCAGGACCCACCAGACGGCAGTGCACAGGACTGCTGGCCTGCGCCCTCCTGGGGAAATCGAGGCCTGAGAGGCGCTGGGACCCACCTGAGGGCGCTTGGCGGTCAGGAGCAGAGCAGGGCAGGGGTGGGGTGGGGGCTTGAGGCCAGCTCTCCCCCATACCCTCTCTCTGATGCCCATGGCCATTCCCAGCCTGGCCACACCCGTGTGTCACTGGGGTACAGAGGGCGGGTTAGGGAGGCCGGCCAGCTTCTTCTGGGGCAACCCTGGAAGCAGGGCCCAGCTTTCCGGACCTGCCGCCTCCACAGGTTCCCTGTCCATGGGAGCCCGGCTGCCTCCCACCCAGTGCAGGTGGGTGCTTGGGTCCCAGTTCCCCATGACTCACCTTGAACCCTGGCATTCCTGGGGGCCCTGGGGGGCCTGGCGGGCAGATACTCGGGCACTGTTGGAAAACAGAGCAGTCAGACCCCTCCTGGCCACGTGGAGCAGGACCTCCAACATAGAGGTCAGCACCCAGGGACGCAGGAGGTCATTCCACGCTGGTGACAGCACCAGGACTGGACACAGACATGGTCTCCTTCAGCAGTGGCCAAGCGTGGTGGGGGCCACATGGAGCACACTGTGGCAACCCCTGCAGCCGGCTCGGATTGCCCAGCCCCGCTCCGCAGGGGGCCTGGTGGTGCCTCAGGTAAGGCCCATCACAGGGCAGGAGTGGCTGGGCATGGGGCTTGTAGGAGGGTGCCGACGTGAGCCCAGGCAACAGGCTTGATGCTCAGGAGACCCAGGGCTGGTTCTAGATGCCCCGCAGCTGCACTGCGCTGGCTGGGCCAACGAGCAGGCCTGTGTCTGTAGCCCAGCCGACTCAGCCCACGGCCAGGGGTCCAGTCTCTCCCCACCTTCTGAAAGATTCCCTAAAGCCTCCCTTCTGAGACACAGGCTGGCTAGGTGCCAGGGCCTGGGGTGGGGTGAGGAGAGAGCTGGTGGACAGCCGTCGGTGGTCAGGTCAGAGTGGGGCGGGCTTTTCCCCTCAAAGCTGTCAAACCTCTCTATCTATGAAAACAAGGTGTGGACTGCTACCACGGACACCCAGACAGAAAGGTGAGATGGATCCATGGCCTCCCAAGTCCGTTTTCTTTCCTCTTTGTTTTTTTTTTTTGAGACAGGGTCTAGCTTGGTTGCCCAGACTGGAGGGCAGTGGCTTGATCATGGCCCACTGCAGCCTCCACCCCCTGGGCTCAAGTGATTCTCCCACCACAGCCACCCAAGTAGCTGGGACAACAGGCATGTCACCACATCTGGCTACTTTAAAAGTTTTTTTGGGGCCGGGTGAGGTGGCTCATGCCTGTAATCCCAGCATTCTGGGAGGCTGAGGCAGGTGGATCACAATGTCAGGAGTTTGAGACTAGCCTGGCCAACAGAGTGAAACCCTGTCTCTACTAAAAATACAAAAAATTAGCCAGATGTGGTGGCGAGCACCTGTAATCCCAGCTACTTGGGAGGCTGAGGCAGGAGAACTGCTCGAACCTGGGAGGCGGAGGTTGCAGTGAGCCAAGATTGTACCACTGCACTCCAGCTCGGGTGCCAGTATGAGAATATGTCTCAAAGAAAAAAAAGTTTTTTGTAGAGACAAGGATCTCACTATGTTGCCCAGGCTGCTCTCAGACTCCTGAGCTTAAGCGATCCTCCTGACGGGGCCTCCCAGAGTGCTGTATTTACAGGCATGAGCCACTGCGCCTGCCTGAGCCTGTTTTCTTTTTACTCAAATGACAAGGTTCAAAGATCAAGGTAAAGGTGGGTCCCAGACTCCAGTCCCTCACTGTGCCCAGGACTCTTCTGTCACCATCTGTGGACAAGGGCACCCTCTGCAGGGACGCTGCAGCGAAGGCACTGGGTGGCTCCATGGCATGACTGATTAATTACATTGGCAAAGCTCCATGTGCCCCGTGGCTCTCTGTGAGGGACAGTGCACATCTAGACAGTGGTGAGGAGGGTGGGAGGGGGAGGGGGGATGTCCCAGCTGCGCTCTCTGCCAGGTTGTGCCTGAGCTGTCTGCACTGAGCTCCCGACGATGGGAGTGCCCGGGCCCTGCCTTCTTGGCAGTATGGCCAAGTCCCTCTCCGGGCCAGACCCCTGCCCCCCAAGGGAGGCACCCCCCAGCCCCCTTCACAAATTGCTGCAAGTGCCCACCTGGAGGTCAGCAGCGCCTTCAGGGAGGACTCCTGGGTGTCCCTAAAACACAGAGACAGCTGACATTCTCCCGCTAGCCCTGGCCACCTGCACCCACCCAACCCACCCACCCACTCTCTGACTGATCGCCACCTTCCCCACCGGTGAGGGGACTTGGAGACCCTTCACCCCATCCCCCAAGTGGCCAATGCTGGGTGCTGCTGGCCCACCTACAGGGCATGTGACAGTGACAGAATCCACTTGTCCTTGGGGCAGGGTGGCCATGGGGACCTGAGCCCTGACCATCCCCAAGTGGGCTGGCCTTGGGGGAGCCACAGCCACTTCCCCCACCCCTGACTGTTCCTGGGGATGGCCAAGTTAGGGTTAGGAGCTCTTGGAGGGGCAAGGAGTCTGAGTGGGGGCTTGGAGCCCGGGAGGGGAAATGGGGGTCCAACCTGGTACCCTAGTCCCTGCCTAGCACTTCTCAGCACCTCTGCCCAGTACTTACAGGGGGCCCGGGAGGTCCTGGGGGGCCAGGGAGGCCGGGGAGCCCAGAAGGTCCCTGGGGAGAGGGTATGACTTAGAGGGGACCAGCTGCCACCTGAGTGAGGTACCCGGTTTCTCCCAGGGAAGAGGAGACACCCAACTCCCGCCAGCTCCCACGGCCACTCCCACTTCACTCCCACGGCCACTCCCACGGCCACTCCCACTCCCACAGCCTCTGTCATGTCTGCATCCTGAGGTTGGGTCTGGATCACTGGCCAGGGTTTCTTTGTTTTTTGTTTTTTTTTTTTTTGAGACGGAGTTTCGCTTTCGTCACCCAGGCTGGAGTGCAATGGCGCCATCTCGGCTCACCGCAACCTCCGCCTCCTGGGTTCAGGCAATTCTCCTGCCTCAGCCTCCTGAGTAGCTGGGATTACAGGCACGCGTCACCATGCCCAGCTAATTTTTTGTAGTTTTAGTAGAGACGGGGTTTCACCGTGTTGACCAGGATGGTCTCGATCTCTTGACCTCGTGATCCACCCGCCTCGGCCTCCCAAAGTGCTGGGATTACAGGCTTGAGCCACCGCGCACTGGCCAGGGTTTCTAACAACACCCCCCAAGGTGGGAGGTGGGGAGAAAGGGGAAGGGGAGGGGGAGGGGGGGCCCTGGCTGTTGAGTCTGGGGTATAGTGGAGACCACAGGTGAGCCCACTCTGAGGGAGTCTGGGACAGCCACTCACCGGGGGGCCTCGGAGGCCGATCCCACCTGGGGGGCCACTCACTCCTGCCTCTCCCTGGAGGAAGGTAAAGAGAAGTGAGGAAGTCTGTACCAGGAGCCCTGAGGGTCCCCACCCAGGGTCAGTGTGCCGCCTCCCCAGGGAGGGGCTCCAGGTGTGGGGTGGTCAGATGCTGCCCCTGAGAAGCCCTGCCCACAGGCACAGTTTGGGACATCCCAGCCTGGCAGGCTCTGGGAACATGCATGCTTGCTCAGGCCCCAGGGGTTGCCAGTACTCACGGGGGGTCCAGGGAGGCCTTTGCCCTGCAAAACCAAGCATGGAGTCAGAGCGTGCCGGGCACAAGACAGGCTGCGCCTCCCCTCCCTAAGATGATTCAGGTGTGTCCCCGGGAAAGAGTGTTCCCAGGGATGGGTGTCTGTTCCCAGCCCAGAGACGGCTCTAGGACCAGTGCAGGCACCAGCCCCCGGAGAGGCTGCAGAGAAGAGGGCCAGCGATGGCCTCTGGGATTTCTGAAGGCCCCCTATTTAGGCCAGATTCTAGCTCCTCAAACTCCCACGGAAAGGAAAGGACCATACTCACCCCCAGCCCGGGTGGCCCCGGGGGTCCCAGGCTTCCCTGTGGGAGGAAAGCAGGCATCTAGGTTGGGCTCAGCCTCTATATGCAAACCCGTTCTCCTCCCTCTGAAGTGTGACCCCACAACACCAACACCCAGGCCAGCAGGGTCTAAGTCCCACTTCACAGAGGGGCAGGGCCTCTGAGCCCCCTTGACATCGAGGGTCCTTTGCTGTCCTGAGATGCTGCTGGAGACAAATGGCGCTAGAGTCCCTGCACCCACTGCAAGAATGCGCAACCCGGGGCAGGTCTGAGATACACAGAAGTGACCCCAGGTGCCTGTCTCCACCAGGAAGCCCTCCCAATAACCCACCCACGAAGCCTGCTAGGTCCTCAGCCCTGCCCACGTCAGCAAGCCCCAGAGCCTTGGGCAGCCAGGCCCCGTCTGCCCTCCACGCCCTCTGGGCCCTGGCTGGGCCCAGCTGCCCGGAATCCCCGTTCCCTGGATGAGGAAGCACAGCCGGGCCCTGCGACAAGGCCAGAGCCCCTCCTGAAAGCCTGGCGATGAGCCCACCCCAACCCGGGCACCGGGAACTTGGCGGCCAGCAGCTACTGTCCCCTTCCTGTTTTCTGCTCAGAATGCACCTCCCAAGGGCAGGGCTGTGTCTTCGTGTCCCCGGCCCAGCCTTCCTGCCCTCTGTGATGCTCTGTGCCTGGGGCCAGTGGCACCCGTTGGCTGACGGCCACTTCTTATGAGGGCAGAAGAGAGAATGCTGGTGTCGGTTTTGTACTCAGAAGCCATGTGGGGAGAAGAGCATCCTTGGGCAGGGGTGCCGCTCAGTCAGGATGAAAAAACTGTGTCCAACGGGCAGGCACAGGGGACTCTGCAGGCTGTGTTCCCTGGGGGTCCCTGGTGGTGGTTTGCCCCGGGGCCCTAGGGGCTGCAGGAACACTCTGAGGAGGAGGGGGGCGCCTGGGGTGGGTCCCCCACACCATCCCTGTCCTCCCTGCCATAGTCTGGATGCAGGATAACCCTGATTGTATGTGGGGGTGGGCAGGAGGCAGGCACTGGGGGCTGACCAGTTGACACCCTGCCTTCCACCCCTCTACCCCACTGCATGGGTGGGGCCTGGCCAGTCCCAGACGCGGCTGCTGTCCTCAGAACCACCAGCTCTTTGGCCTTGTGAACACAGAATGGCCAGAGGTGGCGGGGGGACCTTACTTCTGAACTAAAGCCACAAGGATTGGCGCAGGCACTTACCCGTTCCCCAGGGGCACCCTTGGGTCCAGGGGGTCCATCTCTCCCGGTCAGACCCTGCGGAAAGAGGCAGAGGGCGAGCTTGAAGGGCCACAAGGGAAGTACCCGCCACCCCCAGGCAAAAATGGAACCATGAACCCTTCCCTTGGTGAGTTCAGAGAGGCACAGAAAACTTTGGGCTGGCATCTTCCTCTGTTGGCCCCAACCACTGTCTGCCGGGTGTCCCCAGAGGGCCTGGGAGGAGGGGGCAACTAGCGGGAAGCCAGCAACAGAGACACGTGCTGGAGTCAGGCCTTGGGGACCAATTCAGCAGGACATCCCAGGCCTGGCTTTAGGGGAACAAAGCTGCAGTGTCGGGGCCAGCCTGGGGGCCACGCTGACTGAGCGAGGCCAGCCTGGGGCTCACAGGGGCCAGGCCAGCAGTGGGCAGAGGGGCCTGACAATGGGCACTGGCTCCTGGACAAGGAGGGCTGGCAGGACTTCCAGCTCCACTGTGGGCTGGCTCTGTCCTCTGCCAGATGCTGGTGACGTCTGGGATGAGGGCCAAAGGACCCCCGTTGGGGACTTCTGGAGACTTCTATCAGGACTGGGCTTCCCGCCTGAGCAGGCCCAGCTGGACAACAGCAATTAAGGCTGACTCCTCCAGGTCCCTGGTGGGGGGAGTAGGACAAGGGGAGGGGCGGGCACACTCACGTCCACACCCGACAGTCCCGGCAGCCCGGCCTCTCCTGGCTTCCCCGGCTTTCCTGGGGCCCCCTTTGGTCCCTGTGCAGAAGGAAAGGGCAGAGGTGTGAGGGCTAGGTCTGGCCTGGAGCCTGGGCCTGCAGCAAGAAAGCAAAATGCTTTCCACCTCCCTGTGCCCGGCTACATGACATGGCCCCCTCTCCTCCTGCCGCCCGGCAGACCCCGCCCAGCTGGGTCACGTGTATCCTGCTTGCCCACACCTTGCTGGCCCAGGAAGGCTGCCCGCCCCATCCCTCAGGGGCATCTGTAAGACCTTCTGGTCACCTCAGCCTCCCTGGCTAAGGGCCAGCAGGCATCTCTGTGGGACCCGCAGGGGACCCAGACAGGGCTCGGAGCCCCAGGACCCTCAATCCCTGGAGCTGAAGGTGGGAGGGCTCTGTGCAGCCTCAGGCCCGGGGGACCTGCAGGACGGTACCAGCTCCAGCCCTGGCCTGCCTGGCGCCGGCCCAAAGAAAGCTTCAAAGCCAGGCCCTGCCCAGAACATGCTGCGGCTGAGGCCACATGCTCCCCTCCTGCCTCCTGGCTCTGGGCCTGCTCCCGGCCCTCTGAGGCCTCCCCTCAGGCAACCCAGCCTCCGACAGGATGAGACAGGACATCAATGACCCCTCTGTTCCATGTCCCCTCTTCTCTCCAGACTGCAAAAAGGCTGATTCCCCAGCCAGGGACACTTACCGGGGGCCCGGGCAGACCTGGAGGACCGGCTTCTCCCTGTGAGTAAAGATGCCCACATGTGACCCTGAAAATGAGAGGTCCTCCAGAGCCCGCCTCAGGGAACGGAGCCTCGCTGGCCACCAAACCAGCCCCAGAGGCCCAGCCCAAGAAGACAAAAGGGGACCCTGAGCCCCTGATCCATACCTAGGGGGCAGCCACCCATGTCTGGGGCAGCACCCGGCAAAGAGGTGACCTGGGCAGACAGGCTCAGCCCTCACAGCCACAGGGGGTGTGGGAACCACTTTGCAGATGTGGGGACACGGCCCTCAGGGGTGATGGGAATACATGGCAAATCCCCTCCCTCAGTGGCCTGGGTCTTTAGGAAGACAGCCTGCAAAGAGGTGATCTGGGCAGACAGGCTCAGCCCTCACAGCCACAGGGGGTGTGGGAACCACTTTGCAGATGTGGGGACACGGCCCTCAGGGGTGATGGGAATACATGGCAAATCCCCTCCCTCAGTGGCCTGGGTCTTTAGGAAGACAGCCTGGGTGCTGGGCGGCCTCTCGGTTCCGTCTGCAGCCTCTTCGGTCTCCTGAAGGTCCCCCAGTCCCCACCCTGTTGATGACCACCAGGCCTTTAACTGCGACTTCGAGACCAGATTTCAAGTGGGAGCTCTGGGGTCCAGGTACCTGGCCCAGGAGGAGCCCAGGGAGGCCAGGGCCCTGGGCCATGGGGGTTCGGGTCCACACAGCTGCCCTGAGCACAGCCCTGTGGCCAGGGAAGGAGGTCGTGGCCATTGAAGCTGAGCAGGGCAGAGAGGCTGAGGGTGGGTCACGGGGGACTCTCGGTGCAGCCCTCCACAGGAACCACACAGGCAAGGACAGGCCCTGGGGGAACCCCTGCCCTGGGGGCGGTGGCCACATGGGGAGGTTCACTCCAGATAGTCCCTCAGAGGGAGGCACAGCTGTCAGGCTGCAGCTGCTGCCTCCCGATGCTTGGGCCACACCAGGCCTGAGACACCCATGGGGGACATCACCTCTGGGACGGAGTCAGCTCCTGAGCCCCTCCATGGCTGGCTCCAGCATCCAGCAGCCCCAGCAAGACCCCCGGCCCCTATCTACCCAAAGGATGTGGCCCCCCTCCGCCTGCCTCCATCCACTCCTCCCCACCTCAGCCCAGGGGCCAGAACCCAGAACCCAGAACCCAGGGGCATGGGCCCCTCAGGGACCCAGAGACACACACCTCAGTGCCGGCATTCTGGGTCGAGGACCACCACGTGACACCCTCCACCCCCAAGCAATCCCTGCAGGGCTGCCCCCATCCCATGAAGGTACTGGCTGCCTCCTGATGTCACCCTGGCTCTGGGAGGTGGGGCTTGGTTTTCTCTCAATGAGGCTCGGGAGACCAGGAAGGCAGTGGCCAGAGCCAGAACCCCAGAGCGCTGGGGGCCCTCAGCACCCCCAAACTCACATCGATGCCATCCTGGCCGGGCTTTCCGGGTGGCCCTTGGGGGCCGGGGGGGCCTGGGAGTCCCACTTTCTGAAACAGAGAAAAGTCATCGTGGAGCGCGCTTCCTTCCGACCCAGCGGCTCCAGGGCCGCGACGACCCCCTCTTTCCTCGGTGAGCCCCAAAGCCTCGGGTGGAGCCAGGTGCCCCGCGCAGAGTGCCCCCGCCTCCCTCGGGCTGCGGGAACAAAGGGCTCCTTGTGCTCGGAGCGGAGGCGGCGGCGCCGGCGGACCCGGGCCAGCGCGGACCCAGCGAGGACGCGGCCGGACGGTGCTCTCCCGAGGCGACCTGGGGCTCAACCCGACGCCGGGGGCGCGGACCAAGACACAGGCTGGGGGAGTGGAGGCTGCGCCGGGCATCCTGGGGTGGCGGGTTCGGGGCTGGGGCAGTCCCGGGACCGCGCGGCTAGACGTCCTGCCTCAGGGTCCCGAGCCCCCGCTCACCTGTGCCCCAGTGGCTGCCAGGAGCTGCGTGAGCAGAAGCAGGAGCGGGGGCAGGAGCGGGGCGAGCGCGGGCGCCCGGGCCATGGCTGCGCGAAGTCTGAGCGGCGGCTTCGGGGCTGGCAGAGTGCGGCGGCGGGAGGCGGATGGGCGGGAGGTGGGCGGCCCCTTCCCCTTCCCCGCCCCTGTCCGCACAAGCCCCCCATTCAGCCGGGCCCACCTGGGCGGGTGGGGGCTCCCCCTTCCCCCTGCACCGTGCGGCCGCCGCGCCCAGCCCGACAAGGGGGAAAAGAGACGCCGGGCGGCGCGTTCCCTCCGGCCGCGGGTTAAAATTATCCGGGCCTGGCGCGCCGCACACTCGGAGCTTTGAGCAGGAGAGAAAGACGCTCTCTTCTCCCCTCGCGTGTCAACCGGAGAGTGAGCGTGGGGTGGGGGCCGCGCTGAAGGGCTCCCTTCAGGAACGGGGGAGGAGGCGAGTTTCCGAAGCCGCAGACCCTCCCCGGCGCCAGCAGGGCCCCAGGGCCCAGGAAGACCCGGGGAGGGTGAGTCCCGGTCCCGGCGCCGCCCCTGTTCCGGCTCCGGCCGCCGGTCTAGGGCTGCCCGCGGGGCTGGGGTCGGCGCCACCGTGGACCTGGACGGCCGGGTGCTCAGTCCACGTCAGCTGCCACTGGCTAAGGCCACACTCTCGCCCCAGACTCAGTCCCTGGAGAGAGCAGAGCGGCGACCCTGGCAGAGGGGAAGGGCACCTCCTCCCCGGGATCGGGGGCCCACAGGAAAGGTGCTGGCCGATTCCATTTCCCACGAGCTCAGGGTCGCCAGGCCAGGCCAGCTCTGCCTCAGGCCGCCCTACAGGGGACTCCAATGTCCGAGTTGTCCCCAAGCTCCAGGAAGGCGTGGCATGGCAGCCCCTCCCCCAGGAGTCTTTACAATTCCCTAGAGAGGCTTCCTTTTGCAGGTGGGAACGCAGGACCGGGTGCGTCAGCCTGGCCAGAGCGAGGCCTCGTCTCCACCAAAAATCAAAACCTCGGCCGGGCAGTGGTGCTCGCCCGCAGTCCCGGCTACTCCAGAGGCTGAGGCAAGAGGATGGCTTGAGCCTAAGGTTGAGGCTGCAGTGAGCCAAGATGGCGCCTGCACTCCTGCCTGGGCAAGAGAGACCCTGTCTCAAAATTAATAATAAAGTATCAGCCGGGCACGGTGGCTCATGCCTGTAATCCAGCACTTCGGGAGGCCGAGGTGGGCGGATCACGAGTTCAGAAGATGGAGACCGTCCTGGGCAACATGGTGAAATCCCGTCTCTACTAAAATACAAAAAAATTAGCCAGGTGTGGTGGCGAGCGCCTGTGGTCCCAGCTGCTCCAGAGGCTGAGGCAGGGGAATCGCTTGAACCCGGGAGGCTGAGGTTGCAGTGAGCCGAGATCGCGCCACTGCACTGCAGCCTGGGTGACAGAGCAAGACTCGGTCTCAAAAAAATATAATAATAATAAAGTGTCACTCTAATCTCTCCCGAGGTGACGTGAGTGGAGGGAGATTCTTCCTTCACTGCTGGGTGACATGGGTGGCTGGGAGGGGCGTGTGAATTCCGTCAGGCGAGGTAGGAGGAGGTGAAAAGGCCCAGTCCTGAGGAGACCGGCACCTGGGACAGGTTTTCCCAACAGAGGACTTTTGACAAGGGGGAGGGGTGGGTGGAGCAGGTTGGCCCAGACAGCAGTGGGGCTTAGGGGCTCCTAGCAGCAGCCCCACCCAAGCCCAGGGTCCAGGGGACAGGATGAGCCTTTCTAGCAGTTCCACCTGGCAAGATGACCCTGTGGCCAGCCCCTCCTCAGTGCCTCTCCCTTGGCCCCGGCCCCTCAGTGCCTCTCCTTTGCCCATCCCCATGATGCCAAGCATGCGGGCAGCAAGGACTGCTACATGAACCAAATCAGACCACACACAGCTGGCCTTTACCTCAGGCCAAGAGAGCCACCTCGAGCCTGGGACACCTGCTTGGTGTTCCCCTGCACCACCTGCAAGCCCCTCAGCATACCACCCCCAGCTCCAGGCAAATCCAGGCAAAGGTGGGCGCTGTGAGAGCTGAGCCTCCCTGGGCTCACCTCTGAGTGGGGCAGAGCCACCTGCTGCCTGCCTGTTGGAGGCCATTGCTCTCCCTGAAGCCCGGGTTGGCTAGCCAGCAATGCCTGTGTCCGCAGGCAGCCACCGCCAGGCACCCGCTCCCCAGGGCTGCTCCAACTGGCTCCTGACTGCAGGCACCCTTCTCCACCCACCCCAGCCCCACAGCGGCCTGGACTGAGGATGCTGGATCAGCCGGGCACTGCCACAGTGACTGCATTTCTAGCCCCAAGTCCAGCTCACTGCCTCAGTTTCCCTCCGTGGCAGAAATCACCTCACTGAGCCACACTGGAGTTGAGGCAGCAGGGGTCCCACAGCTTCCCCACCCAGCGACAGGGCATTACTGAACCTGGGGTGTCTCCCTCCCAGTGCCTTCTGACTTGTGTATCTGCCGCCACCAGATGGGAGCTGGGCACATTCCCTGAAGTGGTGCCCGGGTCCACAGCTTTAACCCTCCCACCCGGGGTGCCCAGGGGCGTCCCTGTCCTCCACTGAGCAAAGGCAAGTGTCCAGCCCTTGGGGGAGCCCTGAGCCCTCCTCGAGGCCCCACAAAAGCCCCTTACCACGCTGATAAATAAATGTAGGTGAGCCGGGAAGGGTGGCGGTCCTGGCCCAGGTCGACAAGGCCAGACTGCAGGGAGGGGCTGCCCTGGGGCGCACCTGGCTCCACCAGACCTGAGGGAGCCAGGGAGCCCAAGTGAGGGTGCTGCCAGGCCTGCCTGAGGCACAGCACCACACCCAGACCACAGCAGGCAGAAAGGCCTGGTCCAGACCCCACCGTGCCCAGCCACTGCCCCCAGCCCACCTCAGGGGAGTCCCCACTCAGCTTGGACAGGTGGCAGAGGCCAGCTGAGGGACCGTGGTCCCACCTTCAGCGGCTCTGGGAGGCTGCAGGCTGCGTGCCTGTGCATGCCTGGGCACCATGTGGAGAGGCTGTGCCGCCGCTGTGCCCCCACAAGCACTGCTGGAGCCACGTGAGGCGGCAGCCGGGCCAGGCCACTGACATCGGCTGTGACACCAGCTCTGCCCGCCACCCACTGGGACCCCGGTCCATACCAAAGACTCAAAGTCAAACGAGTTTATTCAGAAAAGGCCTTGCTTGGCACGAGACTAAGAAAAGCAGCCCTGCCCCACCCCACCCCAAAAGGGCCAATTTACAAAGACAGGGGTGCAGGGGAGAGCTGGGCGGGGAAGACACAGCCAGGCCAGGCGGCTTCTGCAGGCCATGGCCTTCCCTGAGGGTGGGGCCTTGCACCTGCTGGGGGCTGCTGCAGCGGCCACCACAGGACGGCACTGCAGGGTTGCTCCCGAGGCCACGCCGCCGCCGGGATGGACATTCCTTTCCTTAAGGCTTCCCGGACGGGGAGGAAGGCCCCACCTGTGTGTCCTGCACCTCCGCTGCCTCCCCTGCCTCGGATGGCTCGTCCCCTGCAGGGCCTGCAGAGCCGGGGCCTGGGCCCTCTGATGGGTTCCCAGGGGCACCTTCTTCGGGCCCCGTTGTGCCTTCTGTGTCCTCCTCAACCCGGTTCTCAGTGTGTCCAGCTTCGGGGCACCCCGATGGGGCAGGGGACCTGGCAGGGGCCAAGGTCTGGGCGCCACCACTGTCCCCAGCACCCCCATCTACCTTCCTCCGCTTCCTCACCTTGTCAGCCACCCTGGCTTCCAGAGGTGGGGGGCAGGGCTGCAAGGCCTCCCCGGGATCCTGGCTGTCCACTTCCTGGGTCCCCGTCCTGAGGCTGCCCTGGCTGAGGGCACACCCCTCCAAGTTCAGAGCGATCTTCTCCACCTCCGAGGCAGTGTGCACGCCTGGCTCTGCGGGGGGCTGCTCCCGCCGGCTCTGCTCCAGCTTCCTCTTCTTGCTCTCTTTGGGGCTGGGGGGCTCCGGCCCATCTTCCCTGTGGCCCCCTGCCTCATCCCCCTGGCTCCTCTCCAGGGGTCCCGCATCCTGGGGTTCCACGCTCAGTGGCTGGGGCCCCTCGTCCACCCTGTCCCCACCCTTGCTGTGCCCTGGCCCACAGGTCCGACCCTGGGTGCTGGCCTTGTGGTCAGGGTCCCCAGGGTTTCCTTCTTCCTCCGCCTTCCTGGGGCCCTCGAGCAGACGGGGTGGGCAGCTAGGCTTGAACCTCCGCAGCTTGTCCCGGGGCCCCCAGACAAACTTGCTGCGGGGCCGGAAGTGCTCCCAGGCGAAGTGCACCAGCTCCCGGCGCTGGTGTCGGCAGCGCACGGCGAACATGAAGTAGTCCAGGGCGCTCTGCCGCACGCCTGGCAGCTCCCGCCGCACCAGCGTCTCCTCCAGGAAGAAGCGGGCCAGCGGCGCCTGGTAGTGCTCAAGGCCGAGCTCGCCCAGCGACTTGAGGATGCGTGTGATGCGGAGGTTGTTGTGGTTGTGCCTGTGGGGGCCGGCGCAGCAGAGGTCAACGGCCGGGGCCGCCCACCCAGCGGCATGGGGGTCTCCCTCCCCATTTGCCTCCCTGGGCCCAGGGGAGGACTCATGCCATCCCCGTGAAAATGGCCTGTAGGCCCTGGACACATGGGGGTGGGGCGGGATGCTGACACATCACCTAGAGTGTGGCTGTCCCCGAGGGCCCCTGGTGGGGAGGAGCTGGGTGGACGAGGGCCACAGGGGCCCCTCCAGGCCGCAGGGTCCTCGATCACCCATGAGAGCGGCTGTACTGCCTGCAGGTCCTCGATCACCCCTGCTTGCTTCTCTGTGTGGGCTGCCACCTCCCAGGCACAGGAATCGCCTTGTCTACCTTCCCACCAACCCTATGGGGAGGGACTGCTCAGCCCCCCAGGCAGCAGGGAGGGCTCAGAGCCTTGGTGGAGCTCTTCCTCCACAGCAGAAGGGCTCTGTGACCTGCCAGGGCGTGGTCCTGTTCTGTGGGGGTGGGGGCAGGCAGGGGCAGGCAGGCCTCACCAGTTCAGGTTCTGGAAGCGCTTCTGGTAGTTCGGTGCTCGGCCCACGGTGCCCGTGCCTCGGTCCTCCAGCCGGATCCCGTAGAAGTCCAGCATGAGCTCGTAGGCCCGGACAAGTCGCTCCTGGATCTCCCTGGAGCTCTTAAACACCTGGAAAAGCCCCCCGGGAGGGCTCAGGCATCATCCCCGAAGCCTCTGTTCCCCGGGAGCATGGGGGCCACACGCATGCTGGGCCTTGGGTCCTGACTCATTCAGAGGCCTGGATTCAGACTTTTATTTTTTATTTATTTTGCTTTATTTATTTTCTGAGACAGAGTCTTGCTCTGTCGCCCAGGCTGGACTGCAGTGGCGTGATCTCAGCTCACTGCAACCTCTGCCTCCCGAGTTCAGGGGATTCTTGTGTCTCAGCCTCCCGAGTAGCTGGGACTACAGGCTCATGCCAGCACACCCAGCTAATTTTTTTGTATTTTTAGTAGAGACAAGGTTTCACCACGTTGGGCAGGCTGGTCTCAAAGTCCTGACCTCAGGTGATCTGTCCACCTCAGCCTCCCAAAGTGCTGGGATTACAGGTGGGAGCCCCAGCGCCCAGCCTGGACTCAGACTTTTAGGGTACAGTGACAAGAGACACACTCACGCCTTCATCTCTCCTCTGAGCTGCCCCGAGCTCTCTCCAGGGCCCCGGGCTGCTGCCCTCCCCGCAGAGGAAGTCACCAGCCATGGGAAAGCGCCAGGAGGGGCCCCTCAGCTCTCTAAGCCCCTGCATCCCTTCGGGACAGCTTCCAGACTTGGGTGGCCCTGCTCCAGCCCAATCCAGCGGTGAGAAAGGCAGGTCCCGCCACTCGGGTCTCTCAGGGGCTCAGCCCCAGACTCCTGCATGGGGACAAACGGCCTCAGAAAGTTGAGTTTCTCGGCCGGGTGCGGTGGCCCACGCCTGTAATCCTAGCACTTTGGGAGGCCAAGGTGGGTGGATCACCTGAGGTCAGGAGTTCAAGACCAGCCTGGCCATCATGGTGAAACCGCATCTTAAAAAACAAAAGAAAACAAAACAAAGTTGAGTTTCTCTAGAGGCCTGGCAGGACAAGGACCACTCCGGAGGGAAGGTCATCATACTGGAGGCTCTTTCGGCCCTTCTGCATTCTGAGGGGCCCCTGAGGGGGCACTGAACGCCTGCTGTCAGATGTGACCCTGTCTCTGTGGATACGTGGCTTGTTCTGGCCTCCCCATCTCCCCCTCCAGCCACACCAAGGCCTGGAGCTCACCTCGATCTCCCTGAGCGTGAGGGGCTTGGCATGCCAGTTCACTCCCGGTTCTCGCAGGGGAAATAGCCTGTAGGAGAAGAGGTGCCCGGGCAGAGGGTTCAGAAGAGCTGCTTCCAGCCCTCTGGCACGCACTCACTGGGTTCCCCTCCTTTCTGGGCTCCCAGGCTCAACTCCGGGAGGGACCGGCCGGGTGGAGGAACGAGGTTGGCAGAGCGCAGGCGAGCGTGCGAGGGCCCAGGACAGGAGGCGTGTGGTACGTGAGGCTGGCCGCACGCCCAGCAGCTGGGAAGTGACCCAAACAGCAAGGGCCTGTGGCCGAGCAGAGCAGGGCCTTCCTTTCTACTCCTCACTCTTCCTTCTCATGTTGTCACCCGTGACATCACACACCAGCAGAGGCTCCCTGTGAGTGCCCAGAGAGCTGTCCCCAAAGCAGAGCATGCTGTGTTTCCAGGGCCACACTGTGGGTCTTCAAGATGCGTGCCGTGAGTCTCACCCCAGCGCCACACCAGGACCCCGGCCCAGCCCAGTCGGATGCAGGGGCCGCCCCTCGAGGCTCACAGAGGCCTCCTGGTGCCAAGGCTGCCCCTCTGGCAGCAGGGACCCCACTCTGCTGCTTCAGGGAACCTGTGTGCAGCCCCTCCGGCCTCCCTGGTGATCGCCAAGAGCCCACAGATTGGGATCGCCAGCAGCCCCTGCATGCCCAGTGATGTCCACCCGTGTCATATGGATACCACTTCCAGGAAGGACAGGGGGCGCTCAGTCCACACCAGGCAGCATCGTGGGGAGGGCTCCCACCTGGGAGGGCCCCTCCTGCTGCAACCTTGCCCACCCCTGTGATTCCCCCCTCCCCCCCGACTCACCACTGGATGTAGGAGTGATTGTCCTCAAGGAGATCATAGTTGTCCTTCCAGTTCTGAAGAATGTCCTCAATGAAACAGCCTGGGAGCCCCAGGAGGACAAGTCAGCTGTGGAAGCCACTCTGCCAGCCTCAGGAGGATGGGGTGTGGGTCGGTGGGGGGAGGGAGTGCTGCCACAGCTTCCCCAAGCTATTCTCGCCCCCGTCTCCAGAGGCTCTTCGGGTCCGAGGCTCCGCAGCGCCACCCACCCCTCCCCCTCTGATGCACAACCCTTGCCCTGCTGGACCCGGGAACTGGCCCCTCACTGCTGACTGGCAGCAAACCCAAGCGAGAACGTGGAAGGCCCTTTGGGAAACCACTGGTCTCAACCAGGACCTGTCTGTGTAGGAGAGGGCCCCAGTGCCTCCCACAAAAGCGTGGCCTGTCGGCCACAGAAATCTGTCCTTAAAGCCCCCAGCTGAAACTAGCTCCATGGTGCGGCGGGCACCGTCTCCCAAGATTCGGGCCTGACAGTCACCCCGTGACACGGCCGGCACCATCTCCCGAGATGGGGGCCTGACAGTCACCCCATGACATGGCGGGCACCATCTCCCGAGATTCGGGCCTGACAGTATCCTACGCAGCCACCCAGTCTGTCTGTCTCATGTTGTGATGTGAAAACAGCCCCGGCAGGTGCATAACCAGGTGTGGGCATGCGCCTGTGTTAACATTGAAATGTTAATTTCCTATAATTTTCAAGTATTAGAATATTGTTCCACCCTAATTTTTCCTCACCATTTAAAAATATAAAAACCATCCTTGGCTGGGCACAGTGGCTCATGCCTGTAATCCCAGCGCTTTGGGAGACAAGATGGGCAGATCACAAGGTCAAGAGATTGAGACCATCCTGGCCAACATGGTCTCTACTAAAAGTCTGCCTCTCCTAAAAATACAAAAAATTAGCTGGGCATGGTGACACGCATCTGTAGTCCTAGCTATTCAGGAGGCTGAGGCAGGAGAATCGCTTGAACCCAGAAGGGAGAGGTTGCAGTGAGCCAAGATCGCGTCACTGCACTCCATCCTGGCAACAGAGCGAGGCTCCATCTCAAAAAAAAAAAAAAAATCCTTAGCTCCTTGGTTTACATGTGGTTTTCATGAGATTGTGGCAGAGTTCAGTGGTTTCGAGAGACTGCATGGCCTGAGAATCTGCAAATATTCAGTCTCTGGCCCTTTACAGTTACCCATCCCAACCGGAGCACCACTGCGGGGGCCCCGTCCCGACCCGGGCACCACCGAAGGGGCCCCGTCCTGACCCGAGCACCACGGCAGAGGCCCAGGGCTAGGGGTCCTGGGGGCCCTCTGTTCGCCTCCAAGGGGGACTGTGGGGGCTCCCTGAAAGAATCACCAGATGCATCCCAAAGCAGGCCCCAGTGGACCACCCTGGCCAGGCAAGGATGGAAGTGCCAGCTGCCAGTGGGTGGGGGCACCTACCGTTGGGCAGGAAGTGGATCTCATTTCTGTAGAAACTCAGGTTGGGCGTGTCTCCATTGCAGTTTCGTTCCACCAGGTCCTGAAGAGCCAGAGAAAGGGACAGCAGAGACCCATCAGACACGAGCTGCCCTGGGGCCCTCTGGGCTGTTCGCGGAGCAGCAGCTGCAAATCCGGGCCTGACCCAAGACCCCAAGAGCCTGCCTGGCTCCTCACTCTTGGAGGACAGCAAACACTCCCTCCAAGTCCCAGGGGCCCCCCTTCCCCATCTCGCCAGCCAGGCCAGACCCGGAAGGTCCCCTCGTCAGCACCCTGAAGGCAGCACAGGGGTTTCTGTGAGATTCAGGGGTGTGGAGGGCAATGGGTGAGGACAACCACCACCCACAGGAGACAGGGCTGGCATGGGGGTGGGGATGCCAGGTGGATGGCATCACGAGGCTGGTGCTGTGGCCATGTCTGCAAGGCAAGGATGTGCTGAGTCTCAGAAAGGTAGGGGATGCCCCTGGTCTCCCATGAGAGGGAAGGGTGCAGCTGTGTGTACGGCCCCCGCACCAGGCTGCTGCCCCAGGTGGGGTCTCGCCCAGAACTGTGGGCTGGTGAAAGCCAGGCCAGCCTTCCACTAGAACCTGGGACATTCTGCCTGAGAAGAGCAGCCAGCGGGAGGGTGCTGTGCCTGGGGCGGGTGGGGACCTACCGGGTAGTGGTGTCGGTACCGGCACATGTCCTGCATGGCTCGCCAGTTTCGGCACCCTGTCATCCTGGACTGGGAAGAGAAGAGATGGGATTAGGACCCCCATGGGAGACCCCTGAGTCCCCACCGTGGTGAGGGCTGCAGGGGCCTGGACCAGCTGCCAAGGAGCTGTCTTTAAAGGGTGGGGTCTCATGGCTCTGCCCTCTCATTCTCCCACCCTGGCTCTTTCTCAGGGTTCCCAGTGGGGGCAGATTTGGGCCTTAGTAAAGCTCTCCAACACTCTGCACAGAAGCAGAGGGGGCTGCAGTGGCCGGTTGAGGCCTGCTCCTTCTCTATGTCCCTGGGGACTCCTGCCTTCCACCTTAGGGTGGCCCCTGGTTGACATGCCCCTCCCCTGGGGTGTGGCCCTGATCTTCTCCTCCTAGGCCTGCTGGCTACCCCCACCCTGGCTTTGGCCTCTGTCTTGTGCCCCTGGGCACTCCCCGTGCTCTGTGCTCTCAGGCTGTGCTCCTTCGGGCAGTGGCCCCACCACCTAAAGCCCCAGAACACCTAGGTGCTTCTGGCAGGGTCTAATAAATGAAAGCCCTTTCCTGCCAACTCCATGCCTCACTGGCCACGGTGAGGTTGGACCCTGAGTCTCCAACCTCCAGCGCTGTCTGGGGTGGCTTCTCAGCAAGGTATCAGGTTCCCATGATGCCCCAAGCCCTTCAGCCCCCACCTCTGTGGTCAAGCATCAGGAGGCTGAGCACAAGGCCAGAGGGAACTGGTGATGAGGTGACGAGGGTGGGGCCTGCAGCTAAGCCCTGCTCGTCTGGGTAGGGCAGGAATGGGAGTGCTTGCTCAAGGCAACACCTGGGACCCAGGACCCTCAGGGAGCACTAGAAGGGGCGTCGGGAGGCCTGGTTGGCCACTGTGTCCCCTGGCTCCCCGCTGGGCTCCAGCTGGGGCCTGGCATTGCCTCTCTGCCTGATTTCTTTCTTCCTCCGCCCCCACCTCGAGACAGAGCTTCATGCAATCACCACTTAATGCAGCCTCTGCCCCCCAGGTTTACGTGATTCTCCTGCTCCAGCCTCCAGAGCCGCTGGGATCCCAGGTGCCCACGCCTAGCTAACTTTGTATTTTTAGTAGAGATAGGGTTTCACCCTGTTGACCAGGCTAATCCCGGATTCCTGACCTCTGGTGATCCGTCCCGCCTTGGCCTCTGAAAGTGCTGAGATTACCGGCCTGCGCCACCGCCACCAGCCCCTGCCTGACTTAACAAGGCCTGATGCTGCGGTTCTCTCGCCCGGCCCTGGCTTGAGTTTCTGCTTCTCCCTCCTGGAGCCGCCGGGAGCCTCCCTGGGTCAGGCCCGGAGGCTGGGTCCTGACCGGCCGCGCAGTCAGCCCACAGGTGCATACACGACACCGCCCAGGACACAGTGAAACAGCCCCACCAGGGTCCAGCGCAGGGCGCTGGGGAAGCCTGCTGGGGAAGCCGGAGGAGTCCAAAGGGGAAGGGGAGGGGCGTGGGGACAGAGCCACAGCAGGAGGCAGAAGGGAAGAGGTCAGGGGTCCCAGGCGCCTGGCAGGATGGATGGTCGGGGCCTACGAGCACTGCTTCAGGAGAGGCCGGAGGAACTCCCGCCGGGCCAGCCGGTCAGAGCCCACCTGGGGGTCACAAGGTCCTGGGAGACGGAGCCAGACCCCTGCCCTGCCCGGCCTGCCTCGCCGCTGCTCTCCCAGCAGGCCCAGCCCCTCCAGGCAGGGCCCTCTCACGTGCCCAGGTGAAACGCAAACGGTGCTGGGTGCTACGGAACCCACGCGGAGCCCACGGCTCAGAGTTCCAGACACTTCCAGGCCTTCCCCAACCCGGACCGCTCAGCTCCCCGACCCGGGGCCGGCCGACTGCGGGAGCGCGCGGTTCCCAGCTGGCAACAAAAGTAACCCCGAAGATGACAGGCGCCCGGCGGCAACAAAAGTAACCAGCGGAGGCCCGGCAGGTGCAGAGGCGAAGCCTCCCAGGCCCAGCCGCGGGCGGGGTCCCCTCCACGCAGCCGGGTGGGGGCAGCCGGGGACCCCAGGCCTCTTCCGCGCCGCGGGGCCGCACCTGGAGCGCGCTGGGCCGCGCCGCCCGCGGCTCCTCCGCGTCCTCGTCCTCTTCCCCCGCGTCCGCGTCCCCCGCGCCGGCGGCCTCGCCGTCCTCGCCGTCCTCGTCCTCCTCGTCCTCCTCCCAGGTGGAGTCGCAGTCGGGGTCGTCCATGCTCGGCGGCGGCGGGGCCCGCGCTGGAGGCGGAAGCGAAACCGAAAGCGGAGGAAGCGCGGGGGGCGGGGCGGGCGGGGGGAGCGGCCCAGTCCCCGCCCGCGTCCGCGCGCAACGCTCCTCCTCCCCGGGACGCCCGCCCCGCGCCCCTGCCCAGAGAATCGCCAACGTCCGCCCGGCAGGATGCCCCTAGCCCAACGCCCACCCCCACCCCGGGATGCCCACCCTAGGACATCTTCCCGAATGTCCCCAAAGGCTGCCCGCCCCCCAGAGGACGTCTCCCCGGAAGATGAGCCGCGGTACCTGGGAAGCATGTCTTCCTCTCTCCCCGCAGAGAATCCCCCCTTCCAAGAATATTTTTGTCCCTCAAGAGAAATCCCCCCCAGAGGATGTCCCCAGGAGGATAACCCCTGGAGGGACCGCGTGTCCACAGGGGCCTGTCTCCCTAGGCTGGGTGTGTGGGGGTCCCTGTCCCTCTGCCAGCTGTGGCTGGGGGCCACACTCCGCTCCTGGAAGCTGTGGCAGACCCATCCCTCCACATGGCCGTTTTCTTTTCCAAGCCACCAGGGGTCTTTCTCTCCCGGGTGCAGAGTCTTATATAAGGCAAATGACGTGGGCAAGCTGTGACTTCCTTCTCCTTTACCATCTTCTCTCAGTTGTAAGAAGGCTCCTGGGGGGAGGACCACTCCTCGCCTGGACTGCCAGGAGGTCACCCCAGGGACTGTTCAACACAGGGGCCGCCAGATTACTGCCTCCTTTGGGCCCTCTCCATAAGCATTGCAGATCTGGGGCGACACAAAGTCACTTTCAGCTGCAGTTTCCAGCACCGTGGGTCCCTTGCTCAGCCACCTTTGACATCTGCTGGCAGATAATGGCAAAGTTGGGGACCTTTTGAAATAAAAATCAGGAGCGGCTACCCCAGATAGAATTCTTCTGTAACTACTATACCACTTTGTTTCAAAAAACTTGGGTAAAACTAAATCTGGGTTTTGGAATTGGCCATGAATTAGCTTCTGGCAGAGTTGTCCCTGGAATGATGGGGGTGGAAAGGTGGAGCAGGCCCCACCCAGCACCCAGGGGACACTGCTATCTCCTAGCCCTGCAGGCCTGCTGGCAGGCTTCAGGCTGCCTGGGCCTGGGAACCGGTGACAGTCCTTGTACTGTGTGCCAGGAACAGCGTGAACGGAAGTCTTCCAGTCCTGGCCATGAGTACAGGTTGAGGACTCTGGGTGCTGGGAGCTAACCTTTGCTGACCTGTTGACCGTTATTAGCAGGCGCAGTCTCACCTGGCTGGAGCCTGTGAACACGCATCTCACTTTCTGAAAGGACAGTGGTGATTCCCGAAGTTTTGGGGCTCTGGACATTCCTGCAAATCAGCTTACTGCAGTGGCCAGGGTGGGTTTCCCGTGGAGTCTGTGAGTGAGCTGCCTGATCTTCTTGATAGATGATTTACAGCAGGGATCTGGTTACAGTGTCAGGATAGACGAGGGCCTCTGATGGGGACACTGATGGGTGCTGGGCGGTCGGATAGGGCTTGGGTGATCTGAGACCGGGGTGGGCAGGCTGCCCCCTTCGCTGCCCCCCAGAAAACAGACAAGCATACTGGGTGTGGATAACCATTGTTCCAGGGGACAGCATCCCCACTGCTCCTGACTGTCGGCAGGGCGACAGAACCACTTCTCTAAAGAGTATCAGAGACATTGCCCAACTTCCGTTTTACAAATGTCACCACACCAAACTGCTGCTTTAGTTACTTCTGTGTAGTGTGTGTGCACGTGCACGTGCAGAGCTCCTGTGGGGGCGCGCTGACCCAGGAAGTGCAGGTGCCGCTCCGGGGACTGTGCGACAGAACTGCTTCCTCCGAGCGGCCTCTGCAGTCCAGTGACGCCCGTGTGCCTCCGCATTCCAGATGGGGCTGCTGCCGAGGCTGGGCAGACGGGCTCTCTCTCTGTTACTCCACACACACACACAGCTCCCAGGCACCCAGGAAGGGCAGTGGCCTCTGCACACTCAGCGGGTGATGTGCCCAGAGCAGGCGCTGCTCACAGCTAAGGAGCCCAGCAGAATTTTGCTTGGCTGGGGCTTGGATTACAGCCTTCACATCTTCAGGTGAGACCAATGGCAGCCATGTGATTTGACCCAGCCACGCCCTGTCCTCAATCAGCCAGCCAAGTGGGGAGCCTCGCTGCTGCTGCCCTGCTGCTCAGTATTTATTTGCTGCTATTTGGGGAGCAGTGGAGTCCAGTCTCCTTTGTCAGTTACCCCTGGGTCGCCCTATGCGGGCCAGGCAGGGGGGTTCAGATCACGGCCACTTTCAGCCTTTACTGAGCCCCCACCTGCAGCTAGCAGTCTCTGCCCTGGGTGTCCTAGGCACAGAGCGCGGCAGAGGCTTCTGATCCATTCAGACCCACTGCATGTCTCTCCTCTACAGCAGCAAGTGCCTGAGTGTCCATGCGCGGGCCGGCCTAATGCCAGCTCCATTTTCATTTTCAGACTCAGGTTCAGTCTGCACCTTCTATGTGGCATGGTGGGGTATTTGTGACGTACAGCCCCCAGGTTACTGACAGGAGCCCCAGGACAAGGAGGGGGCACCCACAGTGTTGACCAGGACTTGAGGCCACATCGCTCTCGCCCTGACCCTTGGGAATTTGACATGGCTGTCCCACCTGCCAGCAGAGTGTGAGCTGGGCCTCCCCACAGCGAAGCCAGGAAGCTCACATGAGCCCATCAGGGCTGCATGGCACCTGACTTCACCCCGGCCAGCCTCTTGTCCAGCAGGGGAGGCCCGGGCGGGGTTGCTGCCTGCCTGCCTGGTGGGCTCACTCTGCGGGCTCTCCCTTTCTCCTGGAAGTGCAGCAAAATGTTGTGATCATCGAGATGAGGCAGGTTATGAATTCAGCTTTCCCAGCGCATTCTGAGATCACCCGGGGTGCGGTTTCCGATGGAGGTTTAGAACAGTGAGCCTGGGTGGAGAGCAGGGACTCCTTCTGGCCGTCGAGTGCCAACCCATTGGTATTTGTCCCCCGTTCTTTCCCCCGCTGCTTCTGGTCTACCTCGGGGCCAGGCTGCTCTCCTGACTGAGACTCCAGGGCAGGACCTACCACAAAGCACTGACTGAAGGAGCGATGGCAGGGGCGAGGGGGCACCACCCTCCCCTGGCTGCAGGGCTGAGTGTTTGGGGTGTGAGTGGAGTAATGCCAGGCGGGTTGTCCTTTGGACTGTGCCTGTGGGGCCCTCCCGGTGCCTGCTCTGCACGGCAGGCTGTTACTGCAGGGCTGTAGATTTGTCCCGGATCTACAGAAGGGACACACAGGGCCTCCCCCAGGCAGCTGTTCTACCATTGGGGTGCAGCTCAGGCAGGCCATGGGCCAGCAGCTTCCTGGGGCTGTTCTGCCCAGAAGTGACAGCAGGTTTGGTGCAGACTGGGTCCCACACGGGGTGAGCACATCACACAGAGTTCCTGGCTCCGCCCCTTTTGTGGGTGCCTTGTGATCTGCGTCATGGTGAGGAACTTCAGGGACCAATGGCCAGGGACGGTCCCAGGCAGTAGAGGCGGCTCCATTGGCAGAGAAGCACCGTCAAGCTGAAGACACTGGGGTGCGACGGCTGGCCAGGACGGAGCTGGTCTTGTCCGCTCACAGAACGCTGGACTTCCCTGTGACCAACCAGCGGTGTCACCTCCAGCAGCAGTGGCGTTCAGCAGGGAGAAGCCTGACCTCTGAGGGCCACACCCTTTTGCCCTGCTAACATTTTGTATTTGAAGTGCTTGTCACTGTCCACAAAATAACCACTCAGAATGTTACCATTTTGTTTATACATTGTATCAAGTGAACGTTAACAAGTCAAGTGTACGCTTTAGTTACAAATCTTGGAAAAATAAAACTTCCTACTGGAGGAAAAGTTAATTTACTTTGGTATCAAATTCACACACTCCAGGTGGGATTTTTCTCTGCTTTAATGTTTGCAGTCACACAAAGGTGGCATCTCAGTGGCACTGGGGCGGCTGCTGTCTCCTCACCAGCCCGACAGCTGCACGTCCTGCCTCTCACCCATTTGGTCTGTTTGCAAGTGACTAGATCATACAAAAATAACCGCTACAAATTCTCTGTATCTGGCATATAAAAACTGACCAAAAAGTATCTCTTAAAGCAAAACATCTCAGAAAAAATACAACACAGGTTTAACTTCTGTAGTACTTTGTTCATATAAAACACTAGTAAAATAGGCTTCTTAAAAATTAAATAGTGAAATACCAACCAAATTATATACATTGTTACAGTACAAGTGAATGAGGCAAAATATCCAGTTCTTAGTTTCCCAGGAGGAGGGGCCATCAGTGCGTGGCATGGGGGCTGACAGGAAGGTCGTGTTCTGGTGTCACAGTCAGTGCAGAGGCTTGCAGCGGGACAAACAGATGGAAAGAACTGAGTCACGCAGGGAAGACCAGTGGCTCCTTCGAGGAAGAGTGAGGTCATGTTTTTATTGCTTGCTAATCCGAGGTTTTCCCCTGGCCCAATGCCCCTCCAGGTAGCCTGGGTCCCTAATGCTGCAGCCCATGTGGAGCTAATGCATGTCGCCAAAAAGCCACAGGAAGCCATGCTGCTCCAGAGAAGAGCACACGGCGTCAGAGCCCTCGGGATCGGAGCTGGATTGATCCTGGCCAGGGTCCCACAGGGTCCGATTGACACACACATTGCCCCGCTGATGGCCACGTTCACCTGAGAACCTAGGGCGGGCAGGGCTCACAGCACTGGGACGATGTCACTGTGGCCTGGCGGTGGCACTGGGACCCAGCCGACCCCCTCGGTGACCAGGCTGTTTGCCCGCTTCTCTGCTGCCGCCAGGGCCGAGCGGTCTATGTCCGGCGCCGCTTGGCCGCGCTGGGGCTGGAGGGGTTGCTGTTCGCGGTCAGGACTTTGTCAGTCACCCGGCTGCGCTTCCGCTTGTCTGCGCCTTCTTTGCACCCCAAGTCCGAGGAGTTCTTCTCTTTGTCTTTGCTGGATTTTTCTGTTGCTTTCCCCAAACTCCCTGAAGATGAAAAAACTGAGAAACGAAAAATCACTTGGCTAAAAACAGAATATCCAAAATCTTATTTTTGTCTCCCTGTTCAGTTAAAAAATCTGCATATTCACACATGACCCTCTGAACTCAAAGGCTTCCTCCTGAGCTGGGGGGGCCCTGGCGTGTGGGCCTGCAGAGGGGCCTGGTCCTGCTGGGCACCTCCCTGCTGCTGACTCTGCAGGAACCACTGCTTAGACCCCATCCCACAACACGGGCCGGCACTCAGCTCCTGGGGACACGGCGCTGCAGGACCCATCCTGTGCTGAGATGACCTGCCTGGGAACTCTGCACCGAAGGCTCTTCGCCCACCTGACTGTGCCCTGCCTGGGGACAGCCTAGCACCAGGGCAGGCTGAGCTCCATACTCACCATCGTCAGCCCCACTGTGGGGGTCCACGTCTTCCTTCATCTCCTCTTTCATCTCCTCTTCTATCATCACTTTTCCTGTGGAGGAGACAGCTGACGTTCACCGAAAGCCCACGGTGGTGGCCGACGCTGGGGGATGGTCAGGCCGGGGACTGCTCCAACGCTTGCTGCCCACACAGGCCGCAGCTTCCGTCCAGCCACTGCTCCCAAACAGAGTCCTCTCCAATCCCGGGGCTCCCAAGACCACCCAAGCACAGGCGGGGCGGGGTCTGTGCTGGGCCCACACCTCCCTGGAGGCCGGGGGTCCTCACCCTCACCTCCCTGCCCTTGGCCAGCGTCTGGCCTTTTCTGATTCCCAAGCCCAGCCTCTCCCGAGTCTCACCTTCTCGGACCTCCTGAATGATCTCTTCTGGAAGGACGAAGTTTCTCTCTGAATTCGGGAACGGAAGAATCTCAGACTCGTGCTGATGTCCAATAGAGTTTGGTTTAAGAAACAGGAGAGGGGTGAGGCGGAGGCGGAAAATAAAAAAAAGAAACAAAGGAGAAAATGCGGTTGCAACAAGTCACTGCGGCCACGTCACAGCCACCCGGGGAGCGGCCAGTGAGCATGCAGCGCTGCGCTGAGGCTGCAGGGGGTGGGGCCTGGGCAAAGGGCATTTCTTTTTGTGGGTAAAAGGGTATTTCTTTTTGTGGGTAGCACTGGCCGCAGCTGGACTTTCCAGAGACTCAGTGAGGGCAGGACTAGGGGAAGCAGCCGCAGGAGTCAGGAAGAAGCACCAGGGCAGCATTGCTAAGGCGGGCCCCGAGGACAGGTCAGCGCTGGTGACACACCCGTGGGCCCGCCTGCCCTCCACAGCCTGTGGTCTCACCATGAGTCTGCTTCCCCCAAGGCGGCATGCAGCGGGCACGGTGACAGCCCCAGGGAGAGGCTGCAGGTGCCTCGAGTTCCCCTCCGTGTGGCAGGAACCCACGGACACTGAGGGTGTGGGCTGGGATGCCACATCACAGAACAGGGAGAGAGGCCGAGCAGGTGCAGCAGGGCCCCTGAGTGCCTGCCAGGCACTGCCCTCCTTCGGTCACACAGACCAGAGGGAGACCAGGAGCCAGGGAAAGTGGAGCAGGCAGGAAGGGCCCTGGACTAGGAGGTGGATCAAGATACAGAGGCTTCCGCTCAGCAGTTTGGGTGCTCTGTGGAGCGGGCAGTCAGGCCACATCTGTGCCCCTCAAAATCTCCTGGGCCTGCTGGTCAGCTTCTTGGGTGGACTCCAGAGGCTCTGTATTTCATCAAGTCTGGATGACTTGGACCCCAGCCACACAGAAGTGCCATGACCCAGAGAAGGTGCCAGCCCCATGGTCTCACGCAGTCCTTACTGATGCCACAGGCCACTGAGGGAACAAGGCACGGGGCCGCCATCCTGGGGCTGAGAGGCCTGGTGGTCCCACGAGCTCCCTGAGTGTGAAGTGGGCTGCTGTGCTCATCTGAGCCAGCACCGCAGCCCCAGGGGACATTACGGGCCTTGGAGCTGTCTGTCTTCCCCAGAGACAGGCACAGAGCCGCACCCATCTCTCCAAATCCCAGTGTGGGAGGTGTCTGGGGACCAGGCGCCCTCTCCCACAACTGAGAAGCTGCTGACCCCAGGAGTTCGGTGACAGGGGACCTCTGACTCTGGGGTGGTGACAGATGCGCTCTAGGCAGGAGTGGGTCCAGGGAGGACCTTGTGAGCTTAGTGGTCAGCTGTGCCTGGGCCACTAGGCACTGGCCACCCAATGCAAATGCTGGACCAGCTCAGAACGTCCTCAACGCAGGATGTGGCAGCCACAGGGGCGTGAGCTCCCAGGGCCCCTCCAGGGCTGGGTGTGCTTCCTCTCCTTACACGGTCGGCCCTCTGCACAGCTGGCCTCTCTGCCCCCTTTCTACAGCTGTGACAAGGAGACCTACTTCACTCGTCCAATGTCAGTGGCAACCATTCCCTGCCTCAGCGGTGCCGACGTCTTACTGGGAGGGCTGGCGTGGCCCTAAGTCTATCGGGGCAGACACAGACTCTTCCCACCAGCACAGGTCCCCCTCCTGCTGGTCGCCTGCCCGGACCCCCACCCCACTCTCCAGCTGCACCATGTTCCGCTGCCAAGGGGCCTGGAACACCCCCTGCCTCTTCTGGCCACCCTGCTTCCTAGTTCACCTGCAAGCCCGTCACACAACGCCAGCTCCGAGCTCTGAGGACTGGACTCCACCTGTCTGACTCCCACAGTAGCCACCAAATTCGCCTTGGTGTGACTCAGATAGGGTCATCCTCTGCCTAAAGCACTTCTGGGGCCTCCCAGGAGACTGGCAACGGCCAAGGGCCCCGGCCTCTGCCTCCCTCCCTCCCTCCCGAGTGTCAGCTGCTCAGTCATCTCCCTGGAGGCTCTGGTCCAGCACCCAGTCAAAAGCAGGCCGCCTGAAAAGCTGACCAGCGGCTGGCACTGGTTTGTGCTTCCCATGACAAGCTCTTGAGCCACCGCAGGTGGCCCGCTGCTCTGTCCAGCAGACCCCAGCAGGCATGGGGGGCCTCTGTCCAGCTCAGGCTGACCCTCAGAGAGCGGTGGGTGGGTTCGGGCCCCCACCCGGCAGCACAGGGAGGGCGGTCGGGCTCACCAGCGCCTGCATGTCGTACATGGTGCTCAGGTGGTCCCAGATGACCTTGGATGGGACCTGCCGCCCTATGTTCTGGCTGAACTTGTCCCGGATACAAATCATGTGGAAGTGTCGGTTCACACCTGCGGGAGGAGGGGCGGCGGGACAGCCGGTGAGCCAGGAGGAGGGGGACGGAGGGGACGAGTGGCCCTGGGGAGCTGAGGGGCCGCTGGGGTCAGGGCTGGAAGGTGCGTGGGAGGGGCGGGGCC